TCTCTCCAAGCATGATCAGGCCCCGCATGAGACTGTGAGCCCCAGCAGGAGAAATAGCACCCTCTGGCCGGGCAGTGACTGCCAGGAAAGGGACATCCTTGAGCGCACGGGGATGCAAGACTGGGCTGTTTCAGCCGCACATCAGCAGCTGCCATGTCTACTGCTGTCTTAACAAAAATCAGGAACATCCCATTTTATTCTCATTGATAAGGGACTCCCTTCCTCTCTCTTTTTTCCTTCCTTCTGTTCTTCCTTACGTAAACAAGCGCTGTCATTTAATGCAGCTTGGACATTATGTTGGTAGCTAGGTATTCATATTAGTGCATACCCTGGCTCTGTTCTTTTCCTTCCTGCTCCGTGCCTCATCTGTGATTTGGACATTTGTTGGTTGACACAGTCCTTGTACTGCTTATCACCATTGATTTATATAAATGTCTCAGGACATTTTTCTCGTAGGTGTATTTGAATCCCATATCTGTTTGCTTGCCAAGTTGTGTATGCTCTGTTAAGCCTTGTAGTGATTGTGTAGGGGTGTGTGTGTGTGCACAAACGTGTGTGCATGTACATGCGTGTTTGTTTCTACTGAGGATCAGCTGTGAGCAGATTTTCTGACATATTTTCTTGCCTTCCCTGAACTCCAGAATTTGCTCATCTCCTTTTCTGTACAGTAAGAACGTTTCCAGCTTCTGAAATGTCTGAAGCAAACAAGGTTTATTTCTTGTCTTACTGTTGATTGTTCTGTTTGTCACCCTCCATCCCATTCCCCTGCCTTATGTGTAAAGTGTGTTTCATTTTCTGTTTATGTTTCCTCCACCGTGGCTTTGTTCACTGCTACATCTGTACTCTGTACTGTTAGAACGCCCACAAAACACTGCTGAACGCTAAGGGCTTTGTTCGTCTCCTGCTCATGGGGACCCCATGTGTGGAGTGGAACCACTGCATAGGATTTCAAGGCTGTGGCCTTTCCGAAGCTGATTGCCAGGGCTGTCTTCCTGGTGCCTCTGCATGTGTTTAAACTGACAACTTTTCAGACGGTAGTCAGGTGCTTAACCACTCATACCACCCGGGGACTCCCCTAACTGAATGAACAGATTTCATTTAAAAGCTCACTGCTCATCATTTAGTCCCTAGTTTTCATTTATTCTTAAGCAGTATACAAACTATCTCCTGCTTTCTGGTTCATACTGGAAATATCCAAAAGGATCCATCTTTAAAGAAGTTCAGGTTAGAAAGTTATATCCATAAGTAGATGCTTTAAGCATTTAATCTTTCATTCATTCAATAGATACTGATTCAGCCTACTACATACCAGGTCCTGTCCTCGGCACTTTGAAAAGAAGGACAGATACACTTCCCTCCAGGAATCACAAGTGGAAAAGGACAAACAATAATTGCAATTACTTGGGTAGATGTCAGGATAGAGATCTGTGAAAGTAACAAAAGATAGAATCTCCCTTTTCCTGGGGGACCTAGCAAGGCTTCACCAAGAAGAGTGACATTTTGGAAGATAAATACTAGAAATAATTTGTCCTCCTTTATAGTCTGCTCATCAAACCAGAAGACCTTTACTAATCTTATGAGCTTAATTCTTTCAGCATTGAGCAACTGCTATGTACCTTACACTAGGATAGGCCCCAGGGGACACAACTGTGACTAAGACAGTCAGAACGTCCCAGAGCCAAAGAAGCACAAGAAGCACTAATATATTGTTAGTTCTGATTAGAGCCGGACAGGAGAAACACGAGGTAATAGATGCAGGTGCAACAGAAATGGCTCAACTCGCTGCTGGGTCAGGGAGCACTCCCTCAAGGAAATGCTATTTCACTTATCTGAGCTTGCATAAACGTATTCCCATCTGTTCACAAAGATGGAGAACAGTAATGTAGTTCCGTCGTGTACATCAGGGACACACAAAGCCCTTGGCATCTTCTTTTGTCAGAGATGTGTCTTATGAGCCAAGAGGGAGAACTGAGTTACTGAATCTATTCAAATATTCTCACGTGAGAGAGCATCAGTTCATTGTTAACTCCTAGGCACTAATATTTCTGACTCTGCATAACTGTCTCTATACAGCATCTGCCAGCATGATCCATGCTGGCCCAATTGTTTGCCTACCTGACCCTGATTCTGTCTTTCTGCCTAATTCCTACCCCATTCTGACTTGATTGGTTCCTTTTGTGCCAGGTCTGAGCTGTTGGCCCCTTGCAACCTACCTGTGCCTGGCCTCTGTCTCGGCCCTCACTGACCTGTGTGGTGGATTCCTCTCTGGAGCTCTGGTGGTGTAGTGCCAAAGGCATTTGACTGCTAACCAGAAGGCTGGTGGTTCAAACCCACCAGCCACTCCTCGGAAGGAAGGTTGGACCATAGTGATACCACTTCAGAAACCTAAGGAGGGGTCGCTGTGAGTCAGATCCGACTCGACAGCAGTGCGTTGCGTTGCGTTGCGTTTTTGCCACCATGGTATTCTGCGTATCTGCCCCATCTCTGCTGGGGATGGTGCTGAACAGCATCCTCCAACTTCGAAGAAGTTTCATTACTTTTTTGGCTCTGACAGAGCTTAAGACACAGGCTCCAAAACACAAGACCAAGGATAATTTTGTTAATTTTTTCAGTAAGAGAGAGCTCCAATTAATAGAGAAGGTACATTCAACGAGTTCAGAATAGGACAAATATATTTCAGATAAGCTCATTTGATAAATATTAGAAACAACACAAGTAGTGACAAATAAAGAAGTAAGAATTTATTTCTATCTACATATAATCCTATCTTAGGCTTATGCACTGTCCCATCTCATTCCTCATTACAACTCCCAGATAGAATTTGAAAATATCAATCCCAGCATGAATCTTATCATAATTCTATTATATTATTTCATTGTTTTATTTGACATTTCAATATAACATTGCAGCCTGAAACTGATATGAAATGATCATTGCTTTCTTTCATTCTTTTGGAGCATTCAATGTAAACTACTGTCTAACTGTCCATCTTTTAAAAGGAGAATGGAGCCTCAAAAGTTATTTAAGGGGGGAGGGAGGTCTCTTTTATCAAACTGTTCTTCACCTTGAGAGTTCTCAAACGTTCTTTCCCCAGATTTTTATTGGTGAGATATCCATGTATTTCATAAAGTCAACCAGAGAATCCCTGATTGCCCAGGAGAAAACAATTTTGACCGGAGAATGCTGTTACCTGAACCCCTTACTTCGAAGGATCATAAGGTTCATAGGTGAGTATAAGAACATGCTGAACTAAATCCTTTGCTCACAGGTAAAGTGTACTGATGGTGAACACACTTGATAAAATCAGCTAAGATACAGAAGCATTAACTTAAAAATCCTGGCCCCTTTGGGGGTTTCCCAGGAAGTATTGAGCCAAATCCTATAAATTGGTGTCCAGTCAAATTTTTTAAGTGGAGCAATACTTATTAAATTAAGAATGATTTCAACTTTGATTTTTTCATATACAACATTTATCTAAGATTCCCCTTAGATCTTATCTAAGGCTTATCTTTTAGTATTAACTGGGTTTGCCATAGACCCTTCAAAAACAAACAAACAAAACCACTGCCATCAAGTCGATTTTGACTCATAGTGACCCCCATTTGGTGTCTGAGGCAGTAAATCTTTATGGAAGTAGATTGCCCAGTCTTGATTCTGTGGAGGGACTGGTGGGTTTAAACCACCAACCTTCTGGTTAGCAGTCAGATGCCTTAGGCACTGTGCTACCAGAGCTCCTTCGTAGACCCTTAGCCAAGTGCAATAAAGAGGTGGGCCGTGGAGAGCACCAATAAAATGAATTTAGAAATAATCACATTTTTCCAACAGATTTCTCATCTAGTAATTTTATCATGCAGAGGATTTGGCAAAGTGTGGAAAGCCTAATCTTCCAGGTACTTGAAAATATGCTTTTCCAACAGGGCTTCAGATTGGTTCTTCCCAATTCAGTCACAGCTGACAAAGTAAAACTAGAATGATGTGAATTTGTAAAATGTATGTGTACTGGAATAATAATTGGGATGGCACAAATTATGGGTCAACACTCTGCTAGAAGATTAATCTCCCTCTTAGAAAATAAAGGCAGTATGTGTGTTACATAGCAACCAAATCTCTTGAACAGCAGAATCAGAAACAACAGTGCCCAGATCAAAGATGGCAGCCAACTGTGGTGCTTTGAATATGTGTTACTCTCTAGTTTGTCTCTCTATAGTTTTTAAGAAATCATCCCTTAAAGTAAAATAATCTTAGACATTTACTGATGTTATTTGCAGAATGGCCTGTGGACATCTGCAATTGGCTCATCAGGTATTCCTTTATCAGCATAATGCGTATTGTCTAGTGCACTCATTCCAAACAATGATACCTTGCAAAGATGTCCAAAGTTTGATGGCTTCCCACTAGCGTGGCTAGATAAAAAATCATGAAAGGAAAAGAGAAGGAGGAAAAAAAAAAAAAAAAAACTTTATTATAAAGGACATTAAGCTAGATACTTCATACACATTATTTCATTTAATCCTTCCAACACCCTATAAAATAGGTGACTGCTGTTATTGTTGTTAGTTGCCATAGAGTGGGCTCTGACTCATAGCAACCCCGTGGACAACAGAATGAAACAGGGCCTGGTCCTGCACCATCCTCACAATCCTTGCTGTGCTTTAGCCCATCATTGCAGCCACTGTCTCGGTCCATCTCATTGAGGATCTTCCTCTCCTTCACTGACCCTTTACTTTACCAAGCATGGTGTTGTCCTTCTCTAGAGACTGAAACCTTCTGACAGCGTGACCAAAGTCCCAAAGACCAAACCAAACTCACTGCTGTTGAGTAGCTTCGACTCATAGCAACCCCTCTTTGCGTTTCCGAGGCAGTATCTCTACAGAAGTAGACTGCCCAATCTTCCTTCCAAGGAGGGGCTGGTGGGTTTGAGCTGCCAGCCTGCTGGTTAGCAGTCAAACGCCTTAGGTACTGTGCCACCAGAACTCCCATGGTGAGAGGAAGCCTGGCCATTCTCATTTCTAAGGAGAGTTCTGGCTGTACTTCCGACAAGACAGATTTGTTCATTCTTCTAGCAGTCCATGGTATATTCAATATTCTTCACCAACACCATAATTCAAATGTATCAACTCTTCTTTGGTCTTCACTGTTCATTGTCCAGCTTTCATATGCATATAAGGCAATTGAAATTACCATGACTTGGGTCAGGCCCACCTCAGTCTTCAATGTCAGTCATCATTGCTCTTTAATACTTTAAAGAGGTCTTTTGCAGTAGATTTCCCAGTGTAGTATGTTGTCTGATTTTGGATCCAAGTAAAATTAAGTCTTTGACACTGTCAACCTTTTCTCCATTTATCATAATGTTACTTACTGGTCCAGTTGTGAGGATTTTTGTTTTGGTTATGTTGAAGTGTGATTCATACTGAAGGCTGCAGTCTTCAGCAAGTACTTCAAGTCACCTTTGCTTTCAGCAAGCAAGGCTGTGCCATCTGCATACTGCAGTGTTAATTCTTCCTCCAGTGCCACAGTTTTCTTCGTACAGTCCATTTTCTCAGATTATTTGCTTAGCATACACATTGAATACATTTCATGAAAGGATACAACCTTGATACACACCTTTTCTGATTTTAAAACATGCAGTATCTCTGTGTTCATTCAAACCGCTGCCTCTTCGTCAGTGTGTGCGGGCTCCACCTGAGCACAATTAAGTGTTCCGGAATTCCCATTCTTCACAGTGTGGTCCATAATCTGTTATGATCCACACACTTGAATGTCTAGCATAGTAAATAAAACACAAGTGAACACCTTTCTGGTATTCTCTGTTTTCAGCCAATATCCATCTGATAACAGAAATGATACCCACAGTGATGTGCCTTCTTCTGAATCCCACTTGAATTTCTGGAAGTTCCCTGTCAATGTACTACGGTAGCTATTTTTTAATTAACTCCAGCAAAATTTTATTTGTATGTGATATTAATGATATTGTTTGATAATTTCTACATTCTATTGCATCACTTCTCTTTGGTATGGGCACAAATATGAATCTCTTCCAGTTGGTTGGCCGGGTAGCAGTTTTCCCAATTTTTTGGCGTAAGTGTGTACAGGCTTCTAGTGTTACATCTGTTAGTTGAAACATTTCAATGAGTATTCCATTCCTAGAGGCTTGTTTTTCATCAATGCCTTCCATGCAACTTGGACTTCTTCCTTCAGTACCATCGGTCTTGATCATATGCTATCTCCTGGCATGGTTAAATATCGACCCATTCTTTTCGATACAGTGACTGTGTATTCCTTTCATCTTCTTTTGATGCTTTCTACATCATTCAGTATTTTGCCCACAGAATCCTTCAGTATTACAGTTTAGGGCTTGAATTTTTTCTTCAGTTCTTTCAGCTTGAGAGATGGAGAACCTGTTCTTCCCTCTTGATTTTCTAACTCCAGGTCTTTGCACATTTCACTATAATGCTTTCCTTTGTCTTCTTAAGCCACACTTTAAAATCTACTGTTCGAGTCTTCTTCATTTCTCCCATTCACTTTAGCTACACTTCATTGAAGAGCAAGTTTCAGAGTCCCTTCTAACATCCATTTTGGTCTTTTCTTTCTTTCCTGTCTTCTTAATGACCTTTTGCTTTCTTCATATATGATGTCCTTGATGTCTTCCGACAGCTCATCTACTCTTTGGTCATCAGTGCTCAATGCTTCAAATCTCTTTTTCTATAATCTTGAATTTCCCTCCCCTCCAATCCCTGGTTACCATCAAAGAATGTTTCTTTCTGTGTGTAAACCTTTCCTTGCCTTTGTTTAATGGTAGACTCATACAGTATTTGTCCATTTGTGGTCAAATTATTTCATTCAGCATAATGTCTTCAGGTTCATCCACATTATTAGGTATTTCACGGATTCTTCTTTATTCTTTAACATTGCATAGTGTTCCTTTGTGTAGATGTACCATAGTTTGTTTATACATTCATCCATTGATGGCCACTTAGGTCATTTCCATCTCTTTGCTATTGAGACTAATGCTGCAATAAACATGGATGTGCACATATATATTCATGTCTCAGCTCTTATTTATCTAATGGGATGCCTTAATTATGTTGAGGAATTTCCCTTGTAGTCCTATTTTCTGAGTTTTTATCAGGAATGGGTATTGAATTTTATCCAATGCCCTTTCTGCATCAATTGATAGGATGGCATGGCTCTTTTACTTTGTTTTATTTATGTAGTGGATTACATTGATACTTTTTCTAATATTGAACCATCTTTGCATACCTATTTGAATCCCACCTGGTCTTTATTTATTTATTTTTTTTAATGTTGGCTTCTATTGGCTAGGATTTTGCTGATGATTTTTGCATCTGTGTTCATGAGGAATATGGGGCTGCAATTTTCTTTTTTAGTGGTACTTTTTCATGGATTTAATATTAGGGTTATGCTTGCTTCATAAAGTGAATTAGAGAATATTTCTTTGTTCTGGAATAGTTTCAGTGGAATTGGTTTCAGCTTAGAATTTGCTAGTGAAATTGTCTGGGGTAGGACTTTTTTTGTTGGGAAGTTTTTTTTTAACCTGTTCAATTTCTTCTTTTGTGATGTATCTGTTCAAATTTTCTATGTATGTCTGTATTAGTTTAGGTAGGTCATACCAAAACAAAAACCAAACAGACTGCCATTGAGTCAGATACGACTCATAGCAACCCCTCCTTTGGTTTCTGAGGCAATATCATTACAGTAGGTCATATGTTTCTAAATATTTATACATTTCTTGTTGGTTTTCAAATCTGTGCAGTTCCTTACAGTATTCTGTTATTATTCTCTATATTTTGGTTGGTTCTGTTGTGACATCACCCATTTTATTTCTTATTTGTGTTATTTGCACCTACTCTTTCTTTTCCTTTGTTAAATTTGCCAATGATTTATCAATTTAGTTCATCTTCGAAAGACCAACTTCTAGTCTTGTTTATTCTTTCACTTGTTTTCTTGTTTCATTTATTTCTGCTCTAATCTTTGTTATTTCCTTTCTTCTGGAGACTGCAGGTTTTTTTGCTGCTCTCCTTCTAATTGCAAGAAAAGTTGGGTTATGGTATTGATTTTAGTTCTTTCTTCCTTTTTGATGTGGGTGTTTGTTGCTATAAATTATCCTCTAAGCACTGCTTTTGCTGTTTCCCACATTTTGTATACTTGATTCTGAAATTTTTTAATTTCACTTTTTATTTTTTCTATTACCCAGTAGCTTTTAAAT